CCTCGGACAGATCATGGTGGAGATGCAGAGCAGAGTTCAGTAGTGTAGTTTAGGGTTCAGGGATTAGGGCTTAGGGTTTAGGTATATAAACATATGATCCGAGAGACACTTCGGGGGCGACAGCGACAGGCTCCAAGAGCAGCGGCTGCGAGGTCTCCAACACCGTGTCTTGACTGCAGCCTGCCTGCACGTCATCCCTGGCCACGAGGCTGCCTCCGGTCCTCGAGTCCACCGAGGACATGCGGAACAAAAGTTCCTCTTTCACATCAACATTGGCCGACATTGCTTCTGCCCCGAACCCGGATTGCGAGGATTTGATCTCGAGAGAGACCAGCACGAAGCGAGCATGACCATGCACCAGTACACATCCCGGCTACACCCGGGGGCGCGTTATTCTTAAATGAGCTGGTACGTATCTCGTGTCCCGGCCACATCCCGGGTACATCCCGGCTACAATTGTATGGCGCCGGGCGAGCCTGGAGCTGGACGTTACCCAGCCTGTGATCAGTTGGATGACGAGATCGTGCGAAAGCACGAGCACCATAGTGCAGGCATAAGCAGCAAGCACCCTTTTCCATATGTTCAGTCGTCATCCGTTGGCAAGACTCCGTCTCGCTTGAAGATATTGCATCGATCGACAGCCTGCTGCTCGGTGATGGCCCGGTCCTCCAGCTGATTCGCGAGTGTCTTGCTGACATCGAAGTCCTTGCCATCACAATTAAGGCGTACGGACAGCTAGGATCTGCATGGAGAAGCCGAGCGTCCTTGCTCTGCAGGATCTGCTTGTCTTTCCCAGTCTGGCCGAAAAGATGCAGACGGATGCCATGGATATTAAGAGCTACATACCCGGCCTCCAGCTTCTTCACCACGGACCACGTAACATGCTTTACACCGTCCTTCCCCGGGCGAGTGTTCTTCTTCACGAGGTAGGCCTGCGTGGCCACAAAACTAGACACATTCGAGAAGAACAGCACACAGACGGCCATGCCTTAGCCTTTGCTGTGGGTCGGCCCTGCAACAGAAACGGATCAGCGGCGAGGAAATCAGGTTCGAAACGGCCCTGCCTTGACCTTTGCTGATGCAGCGGCTCGTGCCTGAGCTGCAAGCTTCTGCTGCTTTCGAATATCAACGGCCTCCGGCGGCTTCAGGTCCAGCAGCCACTCAATTTCCTGAAATTTAGGGTTTATAGGGTTGAAGATGGAGGGTACGTTCAGGGTTTAGGGTTTGGAGTATATATATATATATATATATATGCGGGCGAGCGGCATCAGCAGACTCGGGCCTGGGAACATAGGCCACAGCATCGGCTGTTGCAGCCGCCCGGGCAGCTTCCGGAGCCGCAGGCACCAGTGCCTCCCGAGCCTCACCATGAGCAGCAACAAGCTGCTCCCCAGGACCAGCATCCGGAGCAGGCTCCTGCAGGGTGCAGTCATATTATAAATTAAGGTAAACAGCAGAGCATATCCTGCAACCCTCGGCCTCGTCGGAGTCTTCAATCTGAACTTGTTTGTCTTGCAGATCCAAAAGCACGGCCTTTCTCTTGGCCCGTAGCTTTTCCTCAATCGACTCCGGTTGCTCTATTCCCCAGGCATCCATTATCTCACCGGATTCGTCACGTTCGGCGGCGGTGTCGTCCTCCGGGACGACGGCGGCTTCTTGCGAGTCCTCCCCAATAGCATCGTCGATGATCTGGAGCATCTCCAAAATTCTAGGATAGTTGTTGGCCCGACTGGGCCACTTTCTCTCGACGTGCTTGCCTATATACCGCCAGCTGCGGCGAGTCCTCCGAACCGACTGCAGCAGCACCTTGACGTCTTGAGCCAGAACAACCACCAGTTCCACTTGCAGGTTCTTGACCCATCCTCTGAGGATCGAGTACATCACGTGTTCCAGCCTGGATTGCAGATCGCCACGGATGAGGGTTTGGGATTGATAGAGAGGGACCCAACTCAAGACGTTAAGGGTTTAGGGGAAGTTTCGGGCTGGG